ATTACTGGTGCAGTAAATCGAGAAAAGAGTATAACAATGGATTACTTTTTCTATATGTGAAATATTTCTCACCATGTGCTAAACATCATCTGAACAAAGTGTGCTCGATCGGTGCTATATATATCATGGTCAAATTCATTCGAAAAGTAAGTTATCACAGAATGCAAATAGATAAATATTGTAGGTCTATAACTCCTCCTCCTCGTCTTGTATATTCCAAAAGAATGGAGTAGCGTCGGTAGACATTCTGACTCGCTGCTGCTCCACCCACGCAGCGACCTCATCCAACGTCTCAGACACCCCTTTTCTCCGTCTCTTAAGCCGGTTTTCTTCCGACGTTGTATACTCTTGCACAGATTCCTCGGTCAGCCTGGCTTGCAGGATCTCTAGCGGGTTTCTTCTGTGCCACATGTGGAAGTCTTCGTCCTTAGATATTGGACGGTTGTTGCTCGCATAGAAGCTAAAGCGGCGTAGCTTTAACCCGTCGAGAAACGGGTTGATTAATGCTGCGTCGTTTGGCAGGGAAATTCTCTTTGGCTCATGCCTAGGAATAATGACATTTACTTCCAGATTGCTCGGAACCATGTCGAGGGACACCAGTCCAATATCCGAAAACAATGTAGACCAGTCAGGCGGGCTGGCTATGTGCAAGCTCGGCGATGGACCTGGGGATCGCGAACCATCGCCGGCGCCATGATCAATCATTTCTTGGTCTGCGATTTCGGCTTCGTTGGTAGCAGCAGAAGTATTGGCAAAGCGCCCGGTCTGGTTGTTCACATTTGCACCACGCAGATAGCCGAAAAATGCGTGGAACTGCGATCGTCGTACAAACTCTGCCGTGATAAGTCGGCCATCCCAAGGCTCCCCGAGCCTGTCTTGAGCCAGGGCAAGGCGATCCTCATCCACAGTATCAACAAAGGGTATCCCACAACGTCCGTGGACAGGCTCATCCTGGTTGGTGTTTTCCGTGTCCCCACGCGCGTGCAGTGCCGGCAGGGGCGCTGCGCGCGCCTCGAGCCCAGTAACGGTGGGAACTGTGAAACCCTGCTGGTCGGCAAGCCAGAAAAAATGACGGCCCAACGCCTGCCGGTCCACCGACGCGGACTCGTCCA